TTCCTCAAGGCTTAATGTCATCTTCTCAAAATTGTCAGCAGGTACATTCATTTTATTTTTATATATTTCTGCAAGTTTTTTGATTATTTTATCATCACCTGGAACCTCACCGACAATATTTTCTTCAGGGATATTCAAAAATTCATCAACTTGCATTTTATGAAAGCATTTTGTGACACAAAGTCATGAAATTGGATTTGCATTACATATAAAAAATTTGCCGATGATTTCTAAATTTATCATAGTTACACGATGAATTTTATACATTAGTCACGTGGGGTGCATTTATGGAGGGAGCTTTCATATGAATGGGACTGAAAAAATACATGCAGTGCAGAGTATGGAGGTCTGACTGTATTCATATTTCTATTTATGTATCCATATATTATTACTCACTCATTTGATGTAAATATTTATTTAGAATTAGTAATTAATTAATAAGCATATTATTGGAGAATAGAATAGCACATGTCACATTATTTGCACTACCCCAAGAGATATAAATACACTTGGTTTTAGACCAAGTTAATAACAATCTTGATAACAATAACACAATAATAACCCCTAACACTCTAAATAAATATATAACCCTTACATAAAATAGTCTTTGACTTTACTTAACTACTAAGCCCAGTGTGATTGATTCCCAACCCCTCTAATGATTAATGGTCTGGCCAACCTTTAATTATTAGTTGGGAGCCCTTTTAATTATTGAGATACATCTCAAGGGGACGCCTTTGGGATATAGTTAGTAAAACAACCTAGGGATCTTTTATCCAGACTTGGTGTTGTAAGATAAAAGAAGTGCTGACTGTAAGTCAGTAAGCAAAGTAAGTCCTAGCTGTGTGTTAAATATTTGGACTATCCAGACTTGATGTCATAAGATAGTGGAATCAACTGTGAGTCAGTAGGCAAAGTAAGTCCTAGCTGTTGTTGATATTTAGACTTAGTGTCAATAGGTATAATTATGGGCTGTAATTTGGGGGTAAAGTAAGACCAGCTGTGTGCCACATAGGACAACAATCTTGCAAAGAATATAATCATAATTTTATTAACAAATATTTTATTTTATAGACAGAATAGTGCTATCATTGCGAGTAACATTCTGGACTCTAGTTAAATTTGGGTTACTTTTTTTTGAGATTAAAAATCTGCCAATAATTGAAAATCACAATGTGGGATTTTAACAATGGTTTTAAAAGACATCTAATCAATCAATATTATATTTGATGATGTAGGATATATGCCTACATTTCTCAAAGTGATTCAATTAAGTTTTTAAAATTTTATTAGTTAAGGCATGAATTCAACAAGGACCAAAAAACGTTCCAGAAAATGGGAAAAGCAATGTAGTTACAAAGTGAAACTTGTAGTCATTTTTAACAGGGCAAACATGTACACACATGGTTGTGAAAAGTTGATTCATTTAGAATTAGCAAGATTTAAAGTTGACCTCCCACCTTGTTCAGGATGCAAAAATACACATAGTTTGAAACCACAAAGGAGAGAAGTTTGTATGATTATATTACAGGTCCAGCATAATTTAAATTATAATTTATACAGAATTAAGCTGTCTTTATTATGGGAGTGCACCACATGATGTGCACACTTATTCTTTGGGCTCACTACTAGCTATGAATTTGAATCAGCCAGGGCCCCTAAATAAGATAATGATTAGAGCCTCATTCATGATTATTCAATAAGATCTCATATGTTCATTCACTTGATTCAAAGTGTATTATGAAATTAATTCATCAATTTAGTCACTTGGTTTTTAATTTTGTCATTTAATAGCAGAGAAATTGACAAAAATATCAATGAATGGATTATTCACTTTGCTTATTTTCAGAATTTCAAAATAAAATAAAAATTTTTATTAGTTATTTGAAAATGTTAATTGATGCTTATTGTTTCATCTATGATTAAACCTTAATAAAATATAAAGCCTTTCATGTTCCAATGAGCATAGTGGGCTATGGCCAATTGACAAGGCACATGATAAATCAAATTCATTATTATTATTATTTCCAATCATCTGACTTTAAACCGTTTTCTGGCCACCAGCAATGCTTTTCTTGCTTCTATCTGAGCTTTTCGTTTATCCTTTACACTTTGTGACTCAGATCTTTTTGTTTCAGTCTATAAATATGTAAATATTTGTTAGTGTCTCACAAGTGGATTATAAGATCTAATCTATGAATTAAATTCAATATATATATATTAACCTCATCTCGTAATTGTTTCAATGCATTCATTTGTTCTTCACGTTCTTGTTCATCCTTAGAGAAACGATAGAAACCTACACCCTTAGTACGAATTTCTATATTAATCATGAAAATAAAAAGTTGACTAGTTAATTTTCTCACATAAATAAATAAATATACACAAAGTATAATCAAATCACATATAAATAAATACCTTTTGTATCATCATAATGAGAAGCTCCATTACCACCATCTAAATTTATATTATGTGTATATGAAGAAAAAAATAGATAAGAATTTTTTTTATAGACTGATTACAACTGTTTTATTATACTATACGTTTTAATTCCTCTAATGCATTTTCTTCCCATTTTTCTCTAAGTTGCTCCATTAATTCATCCTCTGATATTACATTAGCCTCTTGCAATGACAATGCACTAAAAATTAAAATAATAATGGTTTAACAGATAATAATAATAAAAAATAATAGTGATGATAATAACAATAATAATTATACTATGACTATATTTACTCTGAATTTATAGATTCTTGTTTTGGTATTTCACTTTTGCGTGCTAATCGTGTTCTGCCAAATTCATCTACATATTCTACCCATGAATTATCATCATCATCATTATTATTACTACTACCACTACTAATATTTTTTCCTTTTGAACCACCATCTTTCTAAATAAGAAAATTTAAAAATCAAATATTCCTAACCAAAAAAAACATAAAATTATTTGTTACATGAAATACTAACTGGTACAGATTTTGTTGTAGTTTCTGATCCTGTTGCTGAAAAAATTTCCCAAGCCTTACGATCAAAATCTACTAATACTTCATCTGCCAATGTATCATCTTTAATTTTTGAATTTTACAAATACAAATAATATTAATGATAACGAATGACCTTTTCTTCTCAAAAAATTTAAAAGAAAAACCATTTACCATCAATACCAGTCTTTATTAATTGATCATATAACTTTGCTTTTCTTTCCATAGCTTTTCTACTTGCTTCTAATGTTGACGACTCAACAGTCTCCAATTCATCTTTTCTCAACCTTTCATTAATCCCTTTATTTTGGCGATCCCATAATCCAACTCTCTATGATTATTTATTTATATTGGAATGATAGGAAAAAACAATATAGTTTATGACTTTCAAAAAAAGAAACAAATAATTAAACAACAAGCTGCTAACAACCTTCTCAGGTTTTTTTAAGGCCTCGGAGCCTGGTTGTTTACTGGCTAACTCTTTTTTCCTTTTAAAATCTTCTTTATATTTAAATATTTCTGCTTTTAGATCTATAAACTTTAAACAAATTTATCATTTAGAAGTTTGAACTAATTGGAAATTATGTATGCATGTTCAGCAACACATTTAATAGAGATATTTTATTTACTGATGAGCCACTAATATTTGATGAATTCTTTGGATCTTGCATATTATTATTATTTAATTAAAGAAAAAACCATTAGGCCAAATTTTTGGGATGTAGTACGAATAGTTTAAATTGTTTTGGATGCCGTTAAAATTTTAGTGGAATTCCGATCTAAACAATTAAAGATTTTTTTTGTAATGAACGTCAAAATTTTATTAATAGGACTTCTGCCGTGTATAAGCAGTAACTAGTGATAATGAGATTTCTCTTATGAATACAAAGTCACAAGGCGATCATTATCGCAAACAGGAATGTTTCATCATCAGAATAATGATGGCAAGCTGTTATTGATAATCTAGGAATGTAGTAGAGTGAGAAGGATTGAGTTTCTTTGAACTCTTTTTTGTTAGAGAAAATTACTTGACAAGTTGGTTCCCACATAAGCTAATGTTCATGATCATGCAACCTGTACATTTTTCATGGATAAATGGACAAGTATGAGGATAGTGAGTATTATTGGAGAGTATTTTGATAAGATCAACATTAATTTTAATCCGAGTAATTTATTTTCATCATAAAGAGTACCAGAACGGCGTCCAGGTTAAAGACTAGTGCCATAAATTATGATGATGGTAGTAATTGTATTTACGGCATATAAAAAGTGGTTGCAATTACCTTTGCGACCACTTTTGCAACCATACTTTTCCTTTTTTGGATTACGGCACTAGTCTTTAGTCCAGGTTGGTGAATATTTTTCTTATTTAGCCTTTTGATTGATTGTTTTGTTTACCCTAAATGTTAAAGATCTTATATATTTTAATGGAAGGGAGGTCTCAAGATACAAATCCATCTAGATGTATTTAACATCAGGGTTTTATTGCTTGTAATTTGCCTCAAAGTCCATTGTTGGCAACCGTGCTTACTGCATATGCTCTTGTTTAGTTTTTATTTTCAAGAACAAGATTTAACACTTTTTCAAATATATTTTTTTTTATTGGGAGAATAGCAAACTCAAATATTTTTAAATATTTCTTAGAGTTAGAAGCAAAATAAAAAAGTAGTTGAAAAGTAACTTTATTGAGATAATATTCAGTCTGAAAAGCTTCATAATAAGAATCATCACAATATTTAATACAATCTATTTTTTTGAGATAATGCAATTTTATTTTATTTTGCTTGACAACCAACTTTATCAAATACATTATTGTAACTGTTAATTTTTTTTAAATATATTTTTATCATCATTATGAGCAATTGAAACAAATTTTGTGTGTCTTCCTTGAGCAATCAATTTATTTTCATTATTTTTATTTTTTAATTCTATGATTGTGTGAGCTAAAGTTTTACCAAGTTTAACACATTCTGCATCCTAATAATAATAATTAAGCAAATAAAAAGAATGTGATTAAAGAAAAATCGAGAAAAGAAAATTCCTTTAATAATAATAATAATAATAATAATTACCCTTACCATTATCACAATATCATCTTTTTTGGCAATATTTATAAAACTAACATTTAGATCAGTACTTAAACCAGTTGAGTATAAACCTTTAGCAGCAATTGATAATGACCCTCCTATATCTATCAATGTAGATATTAATCCACCATGAAGAGATTTAAGACGATTCTATATATATATATTTATAAATAAATTTTTTTTTTAAAAAAAATTATTATTGTTTGCTTTCATTAATAATCTAAAAAACAACCAATAGAAATATTGTTACCAAGTGATAATCTTCCACTGCCAATTCACATGTAACTTTACCATCAAGGACATTAACAATTTTCATCTTTATAATAATTGACATTATTATTGGCATTGGATGATAATAAATAATTTATTTGATAATTATAATGATAATGATAATGATATGATACCTTTCCTATAACATGAGCATCAAATCCATTTGCATTAATAAAATTTTTCCAAACAGATTGAACAAATGATAAACGATTAAAAGTCATTAATAATAATAATATGTTTTCCATTTAACGAAGTCCTATAGATTTTTTTTAAAGGGGTATGATTTTCTTGTGATGTCAATCTACTGTAGTTTTTTGGCAATATTGTACCATCTCAATAAAAGCTTTACTAGTAGTGTATTGCATATCTAGTAGAAATTCCCAGAATAACTTAAATTTGTGGAAGATCAATAATGACTTTACTCATGCTTGGTTATTCTAGTGTGGATGAAAACTAGAAATGCATCCACACCTAGCTAGAGTTTCCCCGATATGGTTTCCAGGGCAAGGTTCAAATTTATGAAATCTTACAAATACCTTTAGGCCATTGAATTTATAACTGACTATGTCAAATATATTTTGATAAAGACAATTAAGACTTGTTCATATTCAAAAATACAACCTTTAAAGTTTCTAATTGATAATATGATTTAGGTGTATAAAAACTTTGTTTAATAAATAAAAACATACAACAACATGTTTTATAATATTTACGTATGTTAATATTGATATTAGAATTCACAGATCGAAGAAGATTTTTAAATTTTAATGATCAGAAATTTTTTTTATCCATCCCGATAAATATTTTGTAATGTTTATATAATAATGAATCTAATAACCTTAACAACACTTTAGAAGATGGACATTAGCATTCATACAACCCTAATTCAACATAGAATTTTGGTGCGTGGTTTGGGAATCCAAGCCTTACTCCATATATGCAAGACCCACATCATCATCAAATTGTTGGCCAATTTGATATTAAAGACATCAGAACTTCAAAATTATATCTGATGTTACCGCCATATATCTTAAAACAACAAATAATCCATATAAAACGGTGCTGTTACCTGGAAATGCACATAGCATTTATTTCTTACATTGGTTATTGTATGTATGCCCAGAACGAAGTACAACTCCTCTTAGTTGGGAGTACAGAAGAAGACTTGATTGATAAAATAGACTTAATCGAGGAAGTATGTGATATGGCATAATTTTTTTGGGGCATAGCAAGAATTTGATTTCATTGGTTGGCTAAATTTTGCGACGATCTCCCTTCCAGATATCACGCGAAAATTAAAATTTTATTGGCTTGAAGATCGTTACGCAAATTTAATAAATTTATATTATCGAAGGAAATTTTAGTTTCGAATGTTTTTAATACATAGGCTTGGTTTTTTGTTACACGGTCTAATATATTATTTACTTTTCAACTTTTCATTGACTTCATCAAATCAACATTTTACCTTTGATCATGAATTATCATCCATTATATAATACTGTATATACACTACCTGGACAAAAGTCACCCACACCCTAAAAACAAATAATTACACAAAAACGTAACATATTAATATACAAAAAAATAATGTCGTTTTGTAACCTAGGTCCTTGTTAATCTATATGCAAATTTTCATTTCTCTCACATTTCCAATGATCATCAAAAACATCAACAAAAAAAAATTGCTCAAGAACTCACATAATAATCACGTCTAAAATTTTAAAGGAATATACATAAAATCAATATTTGGTTGGCCACCATTATTTTTAATGACAGCTTCTACTCTCCTTGGCATACTTTCTATCAGTATCAATAGGATATCCATTGGAATTTTACTCCATTCTTCCTGTAATGCGACCACTTCGCTGCTTTGTAGCAAGACCTTCACCATCAATATGTTTTTTAATAGTATGAGATATTGTTTTCTATGAATATCAAGAATTTTGGCTATTTTGGAAATGGGTTCATTATTTTTGTAAAGACAAATAATTTCACTATGTTGAATTTCAGTCAAAGTCAACATTTTTAATTTTTTTAAATTTTCAAAAATATTTATTAAAAATCAAGCTTGTTTACAAAAAAATTCATAACATCACAGATGGTTATTTAAGATGCGTATTATCATATGTTAAATTTTCAGATGAGATTATAATGCACGTTTTTATTCAATTCATTTTTTTTTGAAGTGCAGAATATTTGGGGAAAAAAAATTCGGACCAAGTTTTATTATTTTTTTTAGAAACGTTAGAGAAATGAAAATTTGCATATAGATTAATAAGTACCTGGGTTACAAAATGACATTATTTTTTGTATATTTATTATATACGTTTTTATGCAATTATTTGTTTTAGGGTGTGCGTGACTTTTGTCCAGGTAGTGTATGTAGTTAATCAAAAATCGAAAAAAAAATATCAAATTAAACACAACTCTCTACATACCAATATTGACATGTCTACGTGTGTTTCAAACTCGGACACTAAAGATAATTCGAACGCGTTTGATTTTATGAAATATAATAATAAAAGAAAATCAGTAATAGGTGTATTAATAACATCAGGAAAAACTAGTAATAGCAATTATAATCGTATTTGTAGAAATTTTTTTTTAATTAGTTCGTTTGTTTCCATATTGAACCAGTGTTTGTTCACGGACATTGTTTGCCTTATAATAATAATGAACCGATGCTGACAATTTCCAAGATAATGTCCACAGAAATTATCCAAAAACTTCACATAACAACTTGTCATACAGATTTGTCTAGGTACAAGAAAGAGAAGCAGTAAGCGAGAGAACCAAAGTAACTAATTAATTGACAAATACCAAATATTGTAATTAACTGACAAGAGTGACCCAAAAGTTAAAGAGTAATCAGTGTCGACAAAAAGGCTACCATTTAAAAAATGTAAAAAATTTATTATTTAGCTTTAAGAAATAAAACAAAAAGAAAATAATTATAATGAATAAATTTATAGTAGAGATTAAATTAGTCATTTATCAATCCTTTCTCTTACTACTATTATGATTATTATGAATGATTTGTAAAATGCTATCTATATAAAAGTGAATAAATCGTATAGATTATATAAATGAAGAAAGATGTGACTCTAAATTAGCACGAATTACAAATATTAATGTAATGGTGTCTTGGATTTCATGAAATTGCTCTGACGGTATATTTTTAAATATAATTAATTATATATTAGTTAAATAAAACAAATAAATATGACTTAGCTTTTTATTACTATCCAACCCTTTCCTTATGCGTGAATGATACCTTTCCCCCACTGTTATGTCTATTACAACGTTCATGATAGCTGGTTAAAATTAAAAAATTGATATAACTAAAAAATGCATCACCCAAGTAATGATAATACTAGGACCATGCAATAAAAAAATTTAAGGAACCGATTTAAAAAAGGCCACATAATGACCTGATGGGTAAAATTTTAATGACCGAGTCTATGCTCAGTTTCATTTTCTTGTGTGTATGCCTACTTCTCAATTGCATACAATTAAAAATTGAAAAGTTCCTTATAAAATAAATGAATAAATCTGATTTATTATACATATACAGGGTTGGCATGGCATTAGGCAACATCAAGGTGTACTTTGACTTCGTTTTTCTGATGATGATTGAGTTGGGATTGAGATGGTGGGGTTTGAGATGGCGGAGTTTGAGATGGTGGGGTTTGAGACGGTGGTGTTTGAGATGATGGTGGAGTTTGAGATGGTGGAGTTTGAGATGGTGGAGTTCAAGAAGTCTGTGACTGCTTTAACGATGTTGATTGTCCTAGACTTCATAATTTGGATCTACGGGTGTGGTATAATATCCATGTCCAATGCCATCCCTGATTATGATGGGTGTCAGATTTATAAAATTTTCCTATTACAAACACGCAAGTGATTATGCTTACACACGCCCCATAACTATAGAATTACTATAGGTGAGCAACTTGTTTTAAAACCGGAGTTTTAAGTTTGGACATGTTCGGAGGCTTTGGACAAGCGAGAAGCTTCTTAACAATGACACAATCGTAGACCCAGAGCGGCGGCGCCCCCCCTGACAAAAAATTACATTGAGCAATTTAATGAACTCTACTTGCATCATCGTATCATCGGGGGGAATCGAGTCAAATTAGCCTAATGGGCTCTAGGAAGATGAGAATGATTGAAATATTCAACTCTTGGAGATGCACCTCAAATTGATTTTTTGTGTGTGTGTGTGTTCTTCAGTAGTCGTGTTGTTTTTGCCTTTGTAATTATTTAATGTTAATAACAGTCACAAAAAGCAAATATACCAATTGTTTGTTCGGAATCTTATAATTACCCATCATTATAATGAAATTTTCTCCACGTTTATATAAGTTGTTTAGGCTATTTTATAAGAAAAGAAAAAATAACATCAATAAAAAAAATAAAGTCTCTGGCTATCAAAAAGCCTATCTTCTTCCTAAATGTGTTTATTAACAACTAGCTAGCTTTCTTGTTTTAGATTTTTCATCTCGCGTCTAAAAAATTTTTTTGTACACACACTATTGTTGTGATCAATATTAATAATAATTTCCGAGTGTAACGTCACGTTTTATTCAGCAAACATCACGAAAATATTCAATTTTATTGGTGGGTTGGGTGTGTATTATCCTTATTTAGAAATTGATAATAAATATATATATATATATATATATATATATATATATGCTTCAAGGTCTTTTTAGTTGGTACCAAAAAACTAACAATTGAGAAAACACCTTTAAAAACAAAAATCTTCACAAATGAGTGGGTAAAACATGTTTTTATTAATATTATGATTAAATATTCACAACACTCACAATTGCTCATTTTTTTACCAAGCAAAGCAAATGAGAGAGTAATGGTGAAAAATAGTGTAATTCATTGTAGTATAATGTTTAAATATACAGTTCATTTTCTATCTATAGTATTTCTTATAATTTTAATTTTCGAATTGGCTTTTTTTAAACCAAAATCAAACTGAACCAAATTGAAAATTTGTCATAAAAAAGAGAGTAGTGGGTGGAAATTGTATGT